TGGGTGCCTCTCCTGAAGCTGCTGCCCCCGCGACCCGAACCCCGGACAAGCGGCAGATGATGAGGATGATGAGGATAATGGGATTGGAACCTACAGCCTTGTGATCTCAGCCAGAGACCCGCAGAGCCACACAAAGTCCCGAGCATATGAGATGTTTATAATCTAATTAATTGCTTTTGTCTCCCTAGTTGCTGCTTTTATGGTAAACTTTTCCCATTCTGTTCTCTGTTGAATGTGTTTTACTTTCTCTACTTACCTGCTGTCATTGTGCCACTTATATCCACACACTGTTCTTAAAGGTACTCAGTCCTACCTACAAACAACGTAATGAAGACTTCCGTAAACTCTTCAAGAAGCTGCCTGACACTGAGAGACTCATAGTGGGTTAGTTTTCAAAGGGCTAATGATGAGCAAGTTTCTGTTCTTTTTAGAAAAATATTGTAAGTAATGTAGCAGGAGCTTAGTTGCAAAAACTAATCAGTCCTGCCATTTTGCCTTAGATTACTCCTGTGCTCTCCAGAAGGACATCTTGCTGCAGGGACGTCTGTATTTGTCGGAAAACTGGCTTTGCTTCTATAGCAATATCTTTCGCTGGGAGACCACTGTGAGTCACATTATCATTCATTATTATTACATAATATTACCAATACTATTATTAACACATAATGATAGTCTTTTATGATGCCAGTAATGTTATTTCAAATAAATTCAAGTCAAACTGACTGAAAGGAACACTTGGAGGAGGCCCTTAGTCCTATAAATTTGTCTTCTCAATAGGAGTCAGTGTAAGAATCCTATGGTTCATTATTATCACTGCAGCTTTTGATATTGTTTTCAGAGCCTACTGTGATGGAAAGTTTGTTAGGGTAGGTGAAACGATTTGAAAGAAGTTGAAAGAACTGGATATTGTCTGGTTCCCACAGTCAGTCAGTACTCACTACACTAGCACTCGCAATCTCCAAGACTGCACATTTTGTCTATAAATTTGTACTTTATTGTCCATCTCATCTTTTGTCCATCTTTACAATACATAAAAAATATATAAAAACATCTACCTGCTATCTGAAAACATTTATAAATATACTAAAAATGTTATAAGTGGTGCAAAGGTGACATTAAAACAATCTCTAAAAATGGTTGACACAGACCCACTACCAGTGCAGTATGCTTGCATTATCGGTAAGAGGCGACTCCTCACTTATTGACCAGTTTACTTAACATAGTTGTAGGAACAGAATTCAGTTAAGTGAGGAGTGTCTGTATTTCACATAGTTTTAAGAAAAGAAGGCAAATTAAGTACCATACAAGTAATTAATATTAAGGGGGAATTTTTGTGTTAGATACAATAGCCCTAAGAACAGCAACAACTTGGTTTTCTCTCTGAGGAGACTAAATGTTACGGACAAACTTTTCAGCACAGCCTTGAACTTGGCACGTGCAAAAATCATCAAAAAAAGCTTGATTGGATAGCACTGACTTGGCCGTTTGAATATCCTAATATAAAGTTTGTCTGAGTTGAAGGAAGCAAGCTGAGTTTAGGCTCAAAGGAACTTCCAGAAATGTTCAGTAGGTTCTCTAGCCAAATCCCCCTGGGCAGGCTACAGAATGTATCAGAACACCACAGCTATCAACACTGAAACATAATTTAGATCATGAAGTAAATTGCACTGCTGATGTTTTATATAGCCTTTATTAACTGTACATGCATCTTAGTAGTTGCAATAATAGTGTGATGCATCACTGTTAAGTCTTCAATTTAGTGTTTCCTTAGCTTCTGAGTGGTGATTCATATGGACATGGTCAGCTACTACAGGGCTTTTGTTTTGCTCCTCACAGATTACTATCTTGCTGAAAGATGTTGTGAACCTCACCAAGGAGAAGACAGCAAAGCTCATCCCCAATGCCATCCAGATCAGCACAGACCATGACAAAGTGAATGAGAGCCAGAAAGGCAGATTCTTCTGATTAAACTCATAAATCTGTTTAGTACCATGCACCCTTGGCATGATTTACCTTCATCACAAGGCACATATTCATATACAAAGTTGTACACTATGGGCAATTTAGAGTTACCAGTTTAAACCAGTGAAAACATAGGGAAACATGGAAACTTCACTCAAAACTAGATGTTGGATTAAAACCATCATTCCTGGAAGTGTGAGCCTACAGTGCAAACTGCTCAGTCACTATACTGCACTACTTCTACACTTAATATTAATGTTAATCTTGGTCATTTCCAAATCAGGCATTTGTAATAGATGAACATGGATTATGTTGATATAAACACAGTGTAAAAAGACCTGATTATTTCCCCTCTGTACCCTTTGTGTGGCAGCACTTCTTTACCTCATTTGGGGCACGAGATCGCAGCTACATGATGATCTTCAGGCTGTGGCAGAATGCCCTGTTGAACAAGGTGCTGGTCCTTTTACTCTCTCAAGTTGTGTAAGCCACAGTGGCACAGTGAACAAGTAGGTCACACGTGGCTGCTGTTCATGCTCGCTTGAGGAGGGTTATTGTTTAATGCTGGCCTCTCCTGCCTCCCCACTGCAGCCTCTCTCCCCAAAAGAGCTGTGGCACATTGTGCACCAGTGCTATGGCACCGAGCTGGGCTTGACTAGTGAGGACGATGACTATGTCTCGCCCACCAATGATCACATTAATGGTCTGCTGTGAGTTCTCCCCACCTGCATAATTATTACTCTGTTGATGCTACTTGATTTATTGTTATGATTTTTTTGTTTGGAAATACTTAAAAGTTCTTATATATTCTGTGTTGAATAAAAGCATAAAAGTGTATAGGTTACGTTTTCAATAGCATTTTCTGTATTTTTCTAACTGGATGCTTTCTCCAGGCCAGGGGATGAGTCAGTGTCCATGTCAGATCTTCTAGATCTGGATTCTGTGCCTGTGGCTATGATGGGTTGCTCTCCCCCATCTGTTGCTGTTCCTGTCTCCTCCCCTCCATCTGGTCTGCCCATAGAGGTGCCTCCATCCAAGTCTAGTATGGTGCTCAGTCCTCCAAGTGACCAAAGCTCCGTCTCCTCTCCCGCCAATCCTGTTCAGCCTGAGCGGACATCAGCAGTAAGTCTCCCTGCACCAGGCCTTGGGGGTATAAGGCACTGGGATTGCTTTACACTGTATACTGTACAGTATATGTGCTAATCTACTACACTGGCTTAATGTATTCCCCAGACAGGGTATACATATTAGGCTTATGACTACAAAATTTTTTTCAAAACTTGAATTATCCTGATGTTGCATTTGATGAACTTTTACCCATAGATCACTTTTTCGAAGTTAATTTTATGGATCATGGAAAAACCTCCCGCACCTAGCACCCCATCTGGCATTTCTTAATCATGTGTGGGTAGTCAGAGAGACTACCAATTTAAGAAGATTGTGGCTCCATTGAGAGTACAAAACTTTCTAGTAATTGTAATCAAGCTATTAAGATTTCAAGAAGTCTGTGGATCCATGGAAAATTCCGGAGCTTCTACAATTGTTCCAGTAGACATTCAATTTTACCTGGATAACGTTTGGAACAAACCGAATTTGTGAAAAGTGGACTTTCACATTTAATTGGCCAAAGACTGTAAGTAGTTCAATTATCATTGCACTGCATATTATTATTTGTAAGGTAATTGCTACATGGTCGCGGGTCTGGTTTACTAACCAACACTACTCAGAGATGGATTATGAAGACCTGCTGTCAGCAATATCCAAACTTCAGTGTCCCAAAGCTGTAAAATGCTTCTCTATTCACTGGAAAAATGAACCATCAGTGCTTGATGTGCCTCGCTCCAACATAGTAGCTGAGAGAGCTGTAAAGTTGATGGAGGAGGTTCATTCTACTTGCAAAACTGACAAATATCTTAACAGCAAATTTATCAACACTAATGCACAAATCTGAAACACTATTAAAAACACTAAAATGCTATATGTACTCATTTCCATGTATTCCTCATGTGTATTGTATGTAAAACTTACATGTTATAATAAAGAGTGTTTGAGCCGCTAGGTGTTACAATGTGAAATATTAGGTGCGGGAGGTTTTTTCATGTTCTGGCAAAACCAAAGTCATTTTTGTGAGTTTTAGGTAAAAGTTCACCAATTACATTAATAAATTTGAGATTTGTCATAACCCTAATACATATGTTTTTGGGACCAGCTTGCCACCGCTGCAGATGCTTTGCTTGTTAAGGTGACAACTTTAAAACCATTTGATTTGATCCTTCGCAAACTTTGCAGAGGCATTGAATGGGTAACAGACTGGAAATATTACATTTTGAGACATCTCAAAATATTTAAGCAATGCTGCTAAGTGGCAGCAAAGGAAAAGGTAAATGCAGATGACATTTGACTTTGTGAATGTGATAAGTCAAAAAGTATTTGATTGTTTATATTATCAATTGAGATCTACATCATTTAATTTTCATACAAATGTCCTCAAAAATGTAGCAGCAGCACTGAACATAACATAAGAAATTTACAAACGAGTGGAGGCCATTCGGCCCATCAAACTCGCTTGGGGAGAACTTAACTAATAGCTCACAGTTGTTAAAATCTTATCTAACTCTGATTTAAAGGAACCTAGAGTTTTAGCTTGCACTACACTAGCAGGAAGACTATTTCATACTCTAACTACACGCTGTGTAAAGAAGTGCTTCCTCAAATTCATTTTAAAATGTTCCCCCTGTGTGGCAGCAAAGGAAGGATACTGCATACATTTTAGTCAATGGTCATTAGAGCCAATAGTTGATAACTTCAATTGAACCAAAAGACTTGCAAGCTGCAATTGGGCCTCTGTCGTTAAAGTTTTTAACATGGTGCTTAGTGAAGCGCTTAAATTTTGTGTCATTTTTCGTTTTAAATTTTGTTGTTTTGATTTATCTGCATGGTGCAAAAAAGGAAGCATTTTTGTCGATCACAAAATCAAATCACAAAAAAACAAATCTTTCAGTGTGTGTTATTACTTTATCATATAATTGAATTACCATTATCTGAGTGTTCACGTGAGTAGATATATTTAAAATGCTTCAGAATATCTGATCTTTGGTTTCACTAACAAAATGTTGCTCTTAGGCTTGTCCATTTGAACCTGTGTGCTTGTGAAGTATTTGAAATACTTTGAAGTATTTTTAGTTTTAAAATACAAAATACTGTAGTTTATTTTGATACTTTGCATGGTGCCTGTATTTTCTGTGTTATTTTGATATACTTACAAATAGGTTATTTTGTATTTTGCATCAAAATACATTTTGATCTTTGAATGCGATTTAATTCTTTAGTCCTCAGGAGAAATTTTCTACCATAAAACCCACTGTATTCACTTGCCTTACTCCAGCTTCGGGCTTTGCGGTCTTGTTTTCCTCAGGGAAGAACACAAATATTCAAAACGTTTAATTAAACTAAAAGCTAATTTCAGTGCAAAAAAAGGTAAATGACGTTCACATTTTTTGGGATTATCTGAGTATTTTTTGGGAACGTTAAATTGTGTTCACGATTTTAAGCATCCTGCCCATCAAAAACAAAACAAACTATCTATGCCCACTCCAGGACTTTGTCTATCCATCACTGTATCTGTTAAGGAAAATGTTGCTTATAGTGCAAATGATCAAAATAGAACATGAATATTTAGACATGTATAAATTTATGAATAATATAAATGATATTTCAAGATGCGTTCAAGCATATGCACACCTTGGGGGAAGAAGCTATTTGCCAGTTTGGTGGTCTGGCAGCGCACTCTCCTGCAGTATGGTCCAGATGGCAGGAGGGCAAAGAGATCGTGACTGGGGTGTGTTATGTCCGTAGTGAACTGGTGCACTCCCTTCAGACCTCTCCTTCAGTCTATGTCTGGGAGCACTGTGTCGATGATGTATTCGGAGGTTTTCATCACCCGCGTGTTAGGGCTGGGTGATGTGACCTCAAATCAATATCATGATTAATTGAACATTTTACCTCGATTACGATTAATGAATGATTAGTTTTTTTTGTTTGTATTTTTTCGCCCTCATATTTCATTGCCAAGGTTTGTATTGTAAATATACTCAACTATTAAAGTTGGGCTATTTTTTCAAAAGACTATAAATCATTAATTTTAAAATAATTGAAGGAAACACACAAAGAGGAACCATTTATGGTTATTCATTGAATGATTCGAACAACTGAAATCAAAGAATTGCTTTGAAAGTAACACGTCTTATGAAAAAGGTCACATTTCAGTTTTAATATAAAAAGCAAGTTTGCATTTCTTGCGGACAGACCGTTCATAGTGATCACATCTGTCTGGGCAATACTGATCACTAATCAGTTAAATCATTATAACTGATGTTTTTTTTCCTTTGTCAGGCAGATTACCAACTAATTGATATTTGTATATTTATTACACAAGTATAAGATAATAAAATGGACAGTTTCACTATTTACTGAATTGAATTGACTCAAAATACAGTACAGCTGTTTCAAACGCTTTTTAAAGTACAGTAATGTACAAATTAAATTACTGAACTGTGTATAATTCAAATACACTATAATATAATACAGTACTATACATAAACTATAGCTTATTGTAGATCTGTATCTCTTTGGCTTGTTTTTGATAGTTTGTCATGAACTTTGATGAGTCCATATTCGTGATTGTGATAAAATGACTTTTTCCAGTCATGATTTTTGTGCATGCAGCATTAACCTCGGGTAGCTGGCCAGAAGCAGATGGGTTGCCACAAGGCAAGGTAGGCAAGTAAAAGAAAAAAAAAGAATTACCGTAATTTAATTTTTTTCCATATGTTATGTATAAAAAGACCCAAACTGAACACTGTAAGCAGACTACTTGATTACTATAAGCAAATTATTTTAAAGGGGGAGGTTGGGGACTTTGAGTCTGAATGGATACTGTTCTGAACCTCCATTGTAGAAGCGGCCATGCAGAGCTGTGGCTGCAGGGTAGTCTGTGCCAGTTGTGGCGGTAACCTTCATACCCGATAGTGGACACCAGAGGTGAGGGGGGCTGTCAAGCTGAAGAAGGAGGCCTACCGGGAATTATTAGCCTGGGGGTCTCTGGAGGCAGCTGACGGGTACTGGCAGGCCAGGCAGAACGAGGTTCGAGTGGTTGCAGAAGCAAAAACCCGGGCGTGGGAGGTGTTTAGTGAGGCTATGGTAAGTGACTTTTGGTCGGCCTCAAAAAGGTTCTGGCAAACCATCCGGAATATCAGGAGGGAGAAGCAGCTCCTGGTTCCTACTATTTATAGTGGGGAGGGGGTGCTGTTGACCTCAAATGGGGACATCACCCGGAGGTGGAAGGAAAACTTTAAGGACTTCCTCAACCCTGCCTCAAATACATCTACGCACACTGCCTTTGAGACATCTGAGGACACAAAGCATGGGGGGGCTGGAGTGGCCCATCACTGGGGCTGAGGTGACCAGGGTAGTTAAAGAGCTACGAGGTAGATGAGATCCACCCGGAGTACCTAAAGTCTCTGGATGTTGTGGGGCTGTCATAGCTGACACGCCTTCTCAACAGCGCGTGGAGGTCTGGAACAGTGCCACTGGATTGGCAGACTGGGGTGGTGGTCCCCATATTTAAGAAAGGGAACCAGAGGGTATGTTCCAACTATAGGGGGATCACAATTCTCAGCCTTCCTGGGAAAGTGTATTCCGGGATACTGGAGAGAAGGGTGAGATCGATAATCAAATCTTAGATTCAGGAGGAACAATGCGGTTTTTGTCTTGGCCGTGGAACACTGGACCAGCTTTATACCCTTGCGAGGGTACTGGAGGGGACCTGGGAGTTTGCCTATCCAGTCTGCATGTGTTTTGTTGACTTGGAAAAGGCTTACCACCGGGTTCCCCCAAGTGCTCTGTGGCGAGTGCTTAGGAAATGTGGGGTTCGGGGTCCACTATTGTGGGTGATTCGGTCCCTGTATGAACAGAGCAGAAGCTTGGTCCGCATTGCCAGTAATAAGTCGGACACGTTCCCAGTGTGGGTTGGGCTCTGCCAGGGCTGCCCTTTGTCATCGGTCCTGTTTATAATATTTATGGACAGGATTTCTAGAGACAGCCAGGATGTTGAGGGTGTCCAGTTTGGTGGCCTCAGGATTGCCTCACTGCTTTTTGCGGACGATGTCCTGTTGGATTCATCTACTAGTGACCTCCAACGTACTCTGGGGTGGTTCGCAGCCGAGTGAGAAGCGCCGGGAATGAGGATTAGCACCTCCAAGTCCGAGATTTGGTTCTCAGCCGGAAACGGGTAGATTGCCCTCTTCAGGTCAGGGAGGAGGTGCTGCCTCAAGTGGAGGAGTTCAAGTATCTCAGGGTCTCGTTCACGAGTGAGGGTAGGTGAGATCGAGAGCTGGACAGACGATTCGGAGCGGTGTCTGCAGTTTTGCAAGCGCTTAACCGGTTTGTCATGGCTAAGAAAGAACGGAGCCGGAAAGCAAAGCTCTATATCTATTGGTCCATCTTCGTCCCTAACCTCACCTATGGTCATGAGCAATGGGTAGTGACCGAAAGAATGAGGTTGTGAATACAGGCGGCCAAAATGAGGTTTCTCCGCAGGGTGTCTGGGCTCTCCCTTAGAGATATAGTGAGAAGTTCAGATATCCGAGAGAGTCTGAGTAAAACCGGTGCTTCTCCACGTCGAAAGGAGCCAGTTGAGGTGGTTTGGACATCTGGGGCTGATGCCTCCTGAGCTGCTACCCAGAGAGGATTTTCATGCATGTCCTACAGGGAGGAGGCCCCGGGGCAGACCCATGAAACGCTGGAGGGATTATATCTCTCTGTTGGCCTGGGAACGCCTCGGGATCCCCCCCCCCTCCCCAAAGAGCTGGTAGAGGTAGCTGAGGAGAGGGAGCTGCTACCCCCACGACCCGAACCCCGGACAAGCAGAAGCTAATGGATGGATGGATAGATGGATGAAAATTATTTAAACAGTATTGATTCTGTCCCAAAATGTTTAATCCATATAAGCAGTTGATCTTTATAACTGTGATCACTTTAAGCAGTTTCCACTGTATTTGAAGTATTGCTAGTACTGAAACCGATTTGTGGTATTACCTTTGGTAG